CGTTATGACCCGTTAAGAAAAAAAAAAAAAAAATTAAATTTGCACATACCACACATTGCCACATAAATATTACTTCAAAACATAAAACATTTGTCGTTTAAATACTATATCTACACTCGAAAATAAGAGCCTAATAAAAAAATAATACATACACTATTAATCTATTACACGTATTAAATGTGCAAGGATAAATAGTTTTTGTTCTCAAAAGTTTACACCTCCATTTACAAAATCTTTAATTTACATCGATCATCATGAAATTGTATTAGAACTTTGGCTTGATCTATTGCCTTCAAGAGTTATGTTGAAGATGTTTTCAGTAAGGTTTTCCACGTCAGAACTCTCTTCCGCATAAACTAAGTATAGAAAAACCAGACATTAAAAATCATTCAAATTATGAGAAGTTTACCAAAATAATAATACTATACCATATAAAAATATATTACCTCCTTTTCCAAATAGCCAATCTCGTGTGCACAACAAAGCTTGAACTGTTTCTGGTAACAATGAACTACGATACTGATCTAGTACTCTACCCCCAATACTAAATGCAGATTCTGATGCAACAGTTGAAATGAGAATTGTTAACACATCTCGTGCTAACTGAGAAAGTATCGAATAATGAAAACGCTCCATTTGCTACCAAGAAAGAAAATTGTTAAATTAATGTATATAATTATTAATATTATAGTTGATTCATACTTTTATTAAGTATATAACATTAGATTTTGTGATATCCACATCCACTAGTGTAAATATTTTAAATTGAAGATCAAATTCATTCTTTGTATTTATATAGGGTCAAGGAGTGTAGCTGTAAAAAATCATCAAAATCGGAGTTAAAATAACTGTTAAATCGTGATTTTTTGTTTATAACCGTCGAAAAATTTTGTCCCGTTACTTGATCCCTGAATGTTTGTATTTTGCAATTTTTTGCTGATGTGATCTTGAAGCATATACAAATAAGTTGATGGTTTGGATCGTTAAAATTAGTTTTAGAGAATTCGTATCCTATCAAAACGATAGATTGACTAACACTTAGAGTTTATTTATACTTTCATTAAGTATAACATAAGATTTTGTGGTATTCACTTGTGTAAATATTTTAAATTGAAGATCAAATTGATTCATTGTATTCATATAGGGTCAATGAGTGTAGCTGTAAAAAAACATCAAAATCGGAGTTAAAATAACCGTAAAATCGTGATTTTTCGTTTATAACCGTCGAAAATCTTTGTCCCGTTACTTGATCTCTGAATGTTTGTTTTTTGTGATTTTTTGTTGATGTGATCTCCAAGCATATAAAAACAAGTTTAATGGTTTGGATCGTTGAAATTAGTTTTGGAGAATTCGTATCCCATCAAAACGATAGATTGACTAACACTTAAGAGTTTATTTATCCTTTCATTAAGTATAACATAAGATTTTGTGGTATACACTTGTGTAAATATTTTAAATTGAAGATCGAATTCGTTCATTGTATTCATATAGGGTCAAGGAGTGTAGCTGTAAAAAATCATCAAAATCGGAGTTATAAATCGTGATTTTTCGTTTATAACCGTCGAAAAGCAATAGATTAACTAACAAGCATATAAAAACAAGTTTAATGGTTTGGATCGTTGAAATTAGTTTAAGAGAATTCGTATCCCATAAAAGCAATAGATTAACTAACACTTCTTAGAGTTTATTTATACTTTCATCAAGTATAACATAAGATTTTGTGGTATCCATTTGTGTAAATATTTTAAATTGAAGATCGAATTCATTCATTGTATTCATATAGGGTCAAAGAATGTAACTATAAAAAATCATCAAAATCGAAGTTAAACTAACCGTTAAATCGTGATTTTTTGTTTATAACCGTCGAAAAGTTTTGTTCCGTTACTTGATCTCTGAATGTTTGTTTTTTGCGATTTTTTGTTGATGTGATCTTAAAGCATATACAAATAAGTTTGACGGTTGGGATCGTTGAAATTAGTTTCGGAGAATTCATGTCCCATCAATCAAGTTCCAATGGTGTGTGTAGTGTGTGTGTGTGTGTGTGTGTGTATATTTATTAAGTAGATTTAAATCTATTTATTTTGTACATATAATTGACTGGTATACGGAATAGTACATCATGTGTGTCATTATAAAAATAGTGAGATATATCATATGTATGATAAAAAGTTAATAACTTAAAAAAATAAAAAAATAAAAAAATTTCTCACCACTTCTATTAATTTTCATTTTCCCCTCTCTTTTTTGTTTCATTTTCAACTTTTTCTTATCATTTTCACTTTTCCCTCCAGCATCTTTCCCTAATTCCCTCACTTTTTTATTTCATTTTCAACTTTTCTTATCATTTTCATTTTCCCTTCATTTTTCTTCAAAAATGGCGGCATGAATGGAATGAAATCAAATCAAATTAATCAATGGATGCAATGCACATGCATCAATCCATCATGCATATTAATTAATAATTATTATAGTTTTTATAAAATTTAATTCAAAATTTAATATATATATATATATAATTATTATAGATAGTCAATATTTTGGGGGTATAATTATTATAGTATATATAATTATTATAGACTTTATAGTTAATTTAATATATATATATATATATATTTATTATAATTTTTAGGGGTATAAAATTGTTAAATTAATGTATATAATTATTACAGTATTTTTTTAGGGTTATAAAATTATAAAAATAATATTCTGCTTATCGTGTATCGTGTTACCCACGTGTATACCCGAATCAACCCGTTATCTTAACAGGTGCTTATCGGGTTACCCAATAACGACCCGATTCGTTATCGTGTCGACCCGAACACTTGTTAATTTCATGTTATGTCGTGTCGTGTCGGGTTATCGGGTCATGTCAGGAATTGCCAGGCCTACTAATATTGTAGGATCGCAGCAACACTGGAAGTGAAAGACGTGGTGAGGCAAATATGGGTGGACTAAACCCTAAACTCGTGCTGGTTGAAACTTGGAAGGTGAGCCCAAAGCTAGTCCACCTTTGCAATTTGTTAAACATTTTCATTCTCTTTTTACCCAATAAATCACATTAATTGTTCTTTTAAAAAACAAATCACATTAATTCTTCTTTTAAAAAACAAGTCACACTAAACTAATCACATTAATTTTTCTTTTAAAATACATATATGAAAATTATCTCTCCGTTAAAAAAGTATTAACAAAATTTTTTTGTCAACCAAAATATGTTAAAAAAAATATTTAGTTTTCTATCACACAAAAAATATGAACAGTAATGTAATTTTTTAAAATCAATTTTTTTTGAGTAAATCTCAATTTACTACCCTCAAGTTTCGTGGTTTTCAACATTTGGTACATGAAGTTTTTTTCGTCCCAGAGTCATACCTAAAGTGTTAATTTTGGGATAATCTCATACATCCGTTAGTCTGACTTTTAAGTCTTCCGTTAATTGATGATGTGATGCCCATTTGGAGGATGACTAGGCGCCACATGTCATTAAGGGATCCACGTGGAAATTAAAATTTCAAGCTGGCCCCATTTCGAACCATGTTGCAAATCCCCAGCAGCCCCATCTCCGTCTTCACCATTGCAAATCCCTAGCAACGTCCTGCTCCAAACCCTCATCCTCCTCATCACAAAACCTAACCCCATCCTTCACACCCCAAAACCCAACCTCAACCAAGAGATGCCGTCGCATGAAGTTATTCACGGAGCCCAATCCTCCAACATGCCAAGCCTAAGGCCGCATATCTCTACCCTCCTCCTCCGGATCTGGTCAAGGCCTCCAAACCTTCACTTGAAATCTAATGCCAACGTGGATCTCCCCGAATTTGACCTGAAATTCGTACCATTGGATGCTCCCGAATCGGACCCCTACCCACATCTAGCCTAAAGACCCTGACGTCCTGCAAATCCACTTGTTCTTGGCAGAGATTTGATTCTGAACTTCCTTCAAATTCACAAAAAATGGAAGAAAATAAAAATAAAAATCACAAAGGTAGAGAGAGACAGATCGAGAGGACATAGAGAGTACCTGCAAGATTTAGGTGTCTTCGTGTAGAGAAGAAGAATTGAAAGCGAGAGCATAGAGGGAGAACAAAAAAGAAAGGTTGGTCGCTGGATTGGATGAGAGGGAGAAAAGAAAGCTAGGAGGGGAGCAATGCCGGCGAAGGAGGAGAGGGAGGGGGAGAGGCGAAGGAAGAAAAAGGATCGTGATTTTCTGTGTTGGGTGGGGAAGAAGAAACAGAGAGATGAACTTAGATTGGTTTTTTAGGTTTAGGTTTGGTTTTTTAGTTTTTAAATTTAAAATTTAAAATTGTTTTAGTTTTTAATTTTTTTAATATTCACGTGGAACCATACTAACACGTGGCACTCATTCATTGTCCATGTAGGTGCCACATCATCAGTTAACAGAGGTTCTGACGGAAACTTAATAGATGTATGAGACTATCTTAAAATTATGACTTTAGGTACCATTCTGGGATGAAAAAAACTTCATATACCAAATGTTGAAAACCAAAAAATTTTAGAGTAATAAACTGAGATTAACCATTTTTTATTTATTTAAACCTCAGCTACATGAATTTAGCATATATCTAATATTAAAAAATAAAAAACAAAAAACAAAAAACAAAAGCATCTTTCCTCACTCCATTCCCATACTCTCTCTCCCACCTTCTCATTTTAAAAACAAAAATAAAAATAATGTTCATACACGAGGTGCGGAAGCATAAACTTGTAAAAACAAATAAAAAGTATTAGTGATTTTTTAATAGAAAAACTAAATTTTAAAAATGAAAGAGAAAGAAAAGGCTCGGTTAAAAGGTGAAAACTCGAAACTACCCCTATAGACCCCTTCCTTTGTTCAAGTCGTTGCACTTCCCCGCTTTCGAACCCACGCAAATCCGCCACACCTCCTCCACATCCCCTCCCCTCTTCTCACTCAACTGTCGTGCTCCCATATAGCTTCGAAATTCAACAAGTTCAAGCGCTCAATCGCCATCGCCGCCATCCAAATCCGGATTCCGCTACTCAATTGTTGTTAAATTTCTGAACGATCTACCAAATCAAACAAATTCCAGTCCAAGTTTGCAAAACAGAGCTTATAGATATTTGAGATTGCGAAGGAAGCTCCGCCGACACTTGCCGCCTAACAAACCAGATACAATTCATAAGGTATCGGTTTCTTTCTAAATATTGATTTTTTTTTTCAGTTAATATCGATTGTTTAATTTTGTTATTGCTGATTAGGGTTTTTCAGTTTTCATTTGTTCATGTAAAAATCGTATTCTGTTTATTTTTCGCAATTAAGTGAAATTGTCACAATTTGATGCTTTTTCCTTCGTTATGTTATCACTTTGCCAAACACACCGGATATTTTGAACTTAATACTTTACAATGTACTTGGGTTTTTGGAAAGTTATATCGCTTGTTTATGTGGTTTGATTTCTTTGATTTTCGATATTCCAGTGGTGGAGTTTCGCAGTTTAGTGTGTTGCAAATGGAAGTGGAGTACGATCGGGATGACTCTCCAATGAGGGAGCACCGGGATGAGGGAACAAATGATGATTTAGACGGGGCTGACAAATCAAGCAGGCACCGGAGCAAGGATAGGAAGAAGAGTAGCCGAGGGGAAGAGAAGGATGCCAGAAGTAAAGACCGAGAGCAGTCGAGGAGTGATGTTGTGAAGGAAAGAGAGAAAGAATCTAAAGATTTGGAAAAGGATCGAGTATATGGCAGGGAAAAGAGGAAGGATGATAGAGATGACCGGTATAAGGATAAGAGTAGAGATAATAAGGTGAAGGAGAAAGATTATGATCGAGAGAGTCATAGAGAAAAGGAGCATGATAGGGGGAAAGATAGAAAGGACAGAGGGAAGGAAAAAGAGCGGGAGAAGGAGAGAGAGGCAGAGAAGGATAGTGATCGAGGACGAGAGAAAGAGAGGGGGAATAGGGATAAGGACAGGGAAAGGGAAAAGGAAAGGGACCGGGCAAAAGAAAAGGAAAGAGAAAAAGAGAGAGAAAAACATAAAGATCGAGAGAAAGGGAGGGAAAGCTATAAAGATACCGATAGGGAGAGGGTGAAAGACAAGTACAGGGAAAAAGAGAGGGAGGTGGATCAAGATAAGGATAAATCAAGAGACAGAGGAAGCAGGAGAAGCGTTGAAAGAGATGATAAGTTGAAGCTAAATGGTGATGATAACAGGGATAAAGACATTCTTAAGCAAGGGAAGGTTTCCCATAATGCTGAGGATGAACGGCATGCTGATGGCTTATCAAGTGGAACACATCTATCATCATCGGAGCTTGAGGAACGCATCTTGAAGTAAGTACAGCTTCATTTATGTTCTCTTTATGCCTATTTGATTTATGTTATCAAACTATTTTATCTTTTTCCGCTTCATATCCCATTTTGCATTAAGCATTATTGCATCTCATTGTTCTTTATTGGGAACTGAAGAAGTTGGATTTTGGTGTATTCAAAGGAATCATATAAAGTCATCTTATGGGCAACCTGAACTTGTCTGTGATATACAATATGCAAAAGCATACTGGGTGTTTAAAAAAAAGAAAAGAAAAGAAGTTGAATCAACATCTCCCAAAGGATGACGTATAGATTATGAAGTATTAGAACATATTGTATTGGGATACATAAGTTGCAAAATAGAATGACGTATAGATTATGAAGTATTAGAACATATTGAAAACATGGTAAGAAGCATATAATGAGTGTTTATCCAAGTATTCAACAGGTTTCTTACAATTTATTGAAAAAAAATAAAATGCAAAATGAAAGTTATCTACTTTTTGTCTAAGTGAGAGTCGCGACTTAGGCGGGCTAGGCGTCCATTTTTAATTTTCAAACACCTAGTGGTTAATCGGGACGGTGGTCAGCCCCCTAGAGTGGGTATTGTTCTTTCAGAAATTTTCAACGTTCAATTACATGGGGTCTACTTAAATCTAATTTGAACACTCAAATATCATAACATTCTAGCAGATGGTGGCAATACAACTGTATTGAGTTGTATACATAGATGTACGTAAACACTTATTTTAAGGACATTGCCATGTGTAACATGTCTATATTTCTTTGCATTGTGCTACAAATTTGTTATATTGGGTTTGCTTTTTTCTCAGGACGAAGGAAGAGAGATTAAAGAAGAAAACAGAAGATGTTCCTGAGGTTTTAGCATGGGTTAGTAGGAGTCGTAAGATCGAGGAGAAAAGGAATGCAGAAAAGCAGAAAGCTTTCCAGCTTTCTAAGATTTTCGAGGAACAGGTCAGTTTGATAGTGTTCCTTTTGTATTGTGTTCACAGCTTCTTGATTTTATAACTGCCATTCATATAATTTTAATTTCTCAGGACAATATTGGTCAAGGAGAAAGTGAAGATGAGGAGACAGCCCAGGATCCCACTCGTAAGATTCCTTCTCACTGCAGATATTTTTTTTTAATATTTCGTAATAGAAGCTAAGGGTCCTAGGGACGTCAACAGGAATTTGAATTTAGTTATCGTTTCATTTTATATTTGAGAACATACCGTATGTGGCGCTATGGTTAAGGTAGAATGCATATTTTATGTTAGAACTTGTAGAGTTACGGAATTTATTTTACACCTGAGCACAAAATAAAAAGTACATCAACCTTGAGGACTTGTGTCTGTATGCCTCATTGCCTCTAGAGGCTTGATTCGGTATTCTGACAATATGCACCTGCTCTTGATATATGGTTTCTATATCTTTAACTGTGACCCAACAGTTGCAAGTTGTGGGGTCTAATATTGTTGATAGTACTTGTAGAATTGGGTTCACATTTTCAGTTGACGTGTCAATACTGTCTGAATGACTTAGTTACAATCTATGACGCTTTTTTTCTGGGTTTATTGGTTTTTTGATGTCACCTTACTCTGAATACCTGTTTACAGATGATCTAGCTGGTGTTAAAGTTCTTCATGGCCTTGACAAAGTAATGGAAGGCGGGGCAGTTGTTTTAACACTCAAAGATCAGAATATTCTAGCTGATGGTGACATTAATGAAGGTAAAGAAGTTTTGAGTTAGTTTGTTTTTCTCACGGCCCAGAGCCTCTCTTAGGCATGCCATGGATGTTTTAATTTTATACTGTTTAATAGAGGTTTTTGTTTCAATGTAACAGACATTGATATGCTTGAGAATGTGGAAATTGGAGAGCAGAAGCAGCGAGACGATGCTTACAAGGCAGCAAAGAAGAAAAGGGGGGTTTATGTCGATAAGTATGTTAACCATAATTATAAAGTGTAATAAAAATTTGATTTGCCAAAAGCAACTTAATTATTGGGTGACATTGTCTATTCTAACCATCTTCTATAATCTGGAATTTTTTCACATCTCATTGCCAACATTGGTTGGTATTAACTATATGCATGTGTTATGGTGCATCAGGTTTAATGACGACCCTGGCGCTGAGAAGAAAATGCTTCCACAGTATGATGATCCAACCCCAGATGAGGTGCACATATTATTATCTCCCCTACGTTTTACCTTACAACCCAGTGTTTTCCCTTGTTCATGTACATTTGTTTGAAACATTGAGCAGGGAACATGGTTTTAATATGTTAATTTATGTCTATTTTCAGGGGTTAACTTTAGATGAAAGAGGACGCTTTACTGGCGAAGCAGAAAAGAAACTTGAAGAGGTACTATTTTCTTTCTCATCATAATTTGTGAGCGGTAATAAAAAGGAGGATAGGACTTCAGGGTATTTGCTGCAGTGAATTGAAATGGTGTTCTAATAGGTGTTGCTTTCATTGCTTTCTGTCTTTCTTTTCTTTTTGTTCCTTATCTTTTGAGTTGTGATCATTTGAAGTTTGTAGTGCAATCTTAGTGCTTTTAGATAAAGGCAAAGAAATACAAAAGAAATTGAAAAGACTAACGGTGGCTTTACTTCTTTCTGCTAGCTACGTAAGAGGATACAGGGTGTTCCCACAAAGGACCGCTTTGAAGATCTCAACATGTCTGGGAAGATCTCATCTGATTTCTATACTCAAGATGAAATGCTTCAGTTTAAAAAACCTAAGAAAAAGAAATCCTTGCGGAAGAGGGAGAAGCTAGACTTAGATGCCCTTGAAGCAGAAGCAGTATCTGCAGGGTTGGGTGTTGAAGACCTTGGTTCTAGGAATGATGCAAAGAGGCAGGCCAATAAAGAGGAGCAAGAAAGATTGGATGCTGAAAGGAGAAATAGTGCATACCAGCTGGCTTATGCTAGAGCAGACGAGGCATCTAAATCATTGCGACTGGAACAAACTCTTTCTGTTAAACGAGAGGAAAATGAAAATCCTGTCTTTGCAGATGATGACGATGATCTGTATAAATCCTTAGAGAAAGCAAGGAAATTGGCTCTTAAAAAGAAAGAGGAGGAAAAAACTGTATCTGGTCCACAAGCGATTGCTCTCCTTGCCACCACCACTGGCAGTAGTCAGACTGCAGATGATCAAATCCCCTCAACTGGAGAGTCACAGGATAACAAGGTTGTCTTCACTGAGATGGAAGAGTTTGTCTGGGGCCTCCAGCTTGATGAAGGTATCTTCTATCTTTGTGTTTTTGCTTTTATTAATCAACCTTAGGGTATTGTTTAATTGATTTTCTATTGGCTGAGGGTGGGAGTGCCTCTCTTTCCCAGCTTAGACATCATGTTATAATGGTCATCATCTTATAGTTAGCTGGTGACCATCTTCCTATCCCACCAAATTCTGGTTCGTTAATTATCAATGTCCCATGGAGGGGTATAATATTGCTCCTGCTGCTTTTTACATGCCAATTAGATCTTTGTTTTTCTGCTTTAAATTTGTGTAATGGTGTGTTAAATTATGAGCCTTCTGCAAGCTTTACAATGTTATTCTCAAGGAGGTTTTGATTATAACCTTCTAAACTTGTGGAAAATTTTTAATGTTCTGCCGCTACATCACAGTTTCATCTATAATTAGAAAATGACTTTTATCCTTTTTTGTACTTTTTCAGAATCCCAAAAGCCTGAAAGTGAAGATGTTTTTATGCAAGAAGATGAACCCGAAGTTCCCCATGAAGAAAAAATGGATGAACCTGGTGGATGGACTGAAGTTAATGATATGGATGAAGACAAACAGCCTGATAATGAGGATAAGGAGGAGGTAGTTCCTGATGAAACAATTCATGAAGTTGCGGTCGGGAAGGGCTTATCAGGTGTACTGAAGCTGCTTAAAGATCGAGGAACCCTTAAAGAAGGTATTGACTGGGGTGGCAGAAACATGGACAAGAAAAAGAGCAAACTTTTTGGTATTGTAGATGATGATGAGGAGGAGCAGCCAAAGGAGACCCATACATCACGTCAAAAGAAGGATGAACCAAGGGATACTCGTTCATCCTCTTCCAGCCATCAAAAGGATACTCGTGCACCTAAAGTCTATCAGGAAAAGGATATTCGCATTGAGAGAACCGATGAATTTGGCAGAACTGTAAGTACTTCTGTTCAGTTCCTTTACAGTTAATTGTTTTTATGGTTTGGCATGGTTACACTGCGGTGAATCTGGTCATAGAGTTATATTAGCCTTGGTCATTGATAATCTTCTTATGCCTTTTACGCGGGCTCAATTTTAGGTTTGGATGTGTAGTTTTTAAAAGCTGTGTAGTAGGTTAGCGACATTCAATTTAAATATTCCTGTGCTTATAATACAAAGAAGTTTTGTGTTTGGAAAGCTGTGGTGCATGTATTATTTTGTATGTTTTTATCTTTGCTTCATCAGTGATCAAGTAGTTTTATTATTATGTGCTGCTAACATATTTCCTCATTTTCACCAGTTGACGCCCAAGGAAGCCTTTAGGATACTTTCTCACAAGTTCCATGGGAAGGGGCCTGGAAAGATGAAGCAAGAAAAGCGCATGAAGCAATACCAGGAAGAACTAAAGTTGAAGCAGATGAAGAGTTCAGATACACCATCACTGTCTGCGGAGAGGATGAGGGACACTCAAGCTCGCTTGCAGACACCATATCTTGTCCTCAGTGGCCATGTTAAACCAGGGTATGCTTTTCAATCATTTCATTCAACTCAGATTTTTGTTTTTGGTTTTGGATCAATTTTTGCTAGTTTCAGTAGGATTTGACCAAGGCAGCTTCAAACAAGAAAATCAGTATTGTGACTAGGCTTGGAGTTGGTATATGTGAGATATTCATACATAAAAACGGTGCTTTACAACTTTAAGAAATGATTCAATTAATTCTCTAAATTTTTGAACACTTTTCTGAATGTCTTAATTTAAAGAATTGAATAAGAAATATGAGCTGTGGTATATGCTTCCCTGCTTAATCCTTTCTGTATTCAACATTAGAATTCCCAATTGATTTATCCTTTTCCCCCTTTGTTCTTATGTTTCCAGGCAAACTAGCGATCCCAGAAGTGGTTTTGCAACGGTTGAGAGGGATCTCCCCGGGGGCTTGACACCCATGCTTGGTGACAGAAAGGTGAGTGAACTCGTACAGTTCTTTGCCCTCGTTTCTTGACCTTGATCTATATAAAATGCTTCTAGGTGATATATTACTTGCTGTATTGTCTTGCGTGCAGCAGTTACTGATAGTTTGTAGTAAATATCGATTCATTCATTTGTGACGTTCTGTTTTCTCCCCTTTTATCCATTCATTTCCATGGAAAGAATAATTCTCTAGTTTATTTTTTTTCAGGTTGAACATTTCCTAGGGATAAAGCGCAAAGCTGAGCCTGAAAGTTCAGACACACCAAAGAGGCCTAAAACTTGAAGTTCACTTTGGTTGGATTCTGGAGTTGACCTTCAACATTTTCAATTTCTTCCACTATTTGTTCGCTACTACTGACCGTACATGAAACTTATTTTTGACAGCCGTGGAGAGAATTTTCGAGGTAGGCTCTGAAGGTTTCGAACTTTCAACAGTATTAAAAGAGATGTTATTTTCTGTTCTGAGAATATACGCAAAACTATTTTTTCCTTGAACAGGGTGTTGTATTTGCCGTCCGAGGATTTCATTTGATCTGAAGGTGTGACTGCACCTTTGGAGTTTAGACGAGAATATAATCGTGGGTTGGAGGTTTTTCAACTGTGCATCAATGTATGCGATAAATTGTTCAATTGGACGCCTAGATTTAGTTATCTTAGACGATAAATTATCGTATTTTGCAGAAGATAAATTAAGACTCGAGTCCTCCACAATCCTTCAAGTACTTGATCTTGATTTTTTTGAGTGCGGCGTGAGCATCTCGCATGTTAATCCTCTCTTCCGGCAATGCTGCAGAACACGCTAGAGCTAATCTCATGACGGATGATACGCAATCTCTCCTGCTCCCAAAACCACCATCTTCCTCCGTCCCAAGTAAATCGGCATCCGTGATTTCAACGAATGCATCGTTTGAAAGTAATGAACCTGCATTCCATTGCTTTAAACTCATTTCCCCAACAAACATCTCATCCGTTGGCTTCCGTTTTGTGAACGTCTCCGTAAGTACAATGCCAAAACTATACACATCACCTCCTGTTGAAACAATTCCTTCCATCCCGAACTCTGCATAATTTAATTTACGTGAATTTGGCGATCAATAATACTATTTGTAAACAGTTGACACTCTCTAATATAAATGGATCTCACATATATTGGTATCGAATAACCGTGATGAAGGTATTCCAACGCCGATGCTGCGTCCATCATTGTGTTCAACCTGTGCAGAATACTCAACGGAGAGCCATCCAATTCTCAAGGCTCCCATTAGGCATGTATTGTATGAGGGCTTTGAAATCAACTTGACTGCAGCAACTGATGATTTTGACGAGATTTCGGTGAAGAATTTGGCTCAGCACTTCACATTCACTGTCGAAACTCCTAAAAGCCCCTTCAAGCTGTAAATTGAAAACCTTTACAGCAACATTTCTCCCATCAGAAATTGTACCTTCATATACTGAGCCAAAACCCCCCGTGCCAAGTAAGTTACTTTCGTTGAATCCGTTTGTCGCCCTCACAAGTTCTGCGCGTGAAAATCTTTGCCAAAGAAGTTGAGGTAGCAAGGAAGTCTCTGTTGCAACTTCCGCTTTCCTTTTTCTGCGTTGTATCAACATTGCTGATACGATCCCTGGAATAATCTATTTCAAGTTGGATGTACTAGCTTTCTTTGAGTTCCGGTTAAGCGTGTTGTTTTTGCATTGTGGAACATGGAGTCGGGCTTCACCACAGAGCGCACCATTTGAGACATATGACAGCACAGAGAAGTTTTCCGATATCCGTTCAGAAAATTGAATGACAAGTTTCGGTACAAGATATACTCAAGTCCCCAGACCCTAACGATAGACGTCTTAGAGCTCGGGCGAGTCTACTTAAGCAAGAAGGTATCGAACCAGGGAGTTGATTACCATCCAAGACTAATTCAGCTAGGTTTTCTAGTTGACAGAGATCAAATGGGATACCTCCTTCAAACTTGTTGCCACTCAAAAACAAACCTTGGAGACTCCCTAGTTTTCCCACAGAAGTTGGAATCAACCCACCCAATTTATTGTTTCTCAAATCTAGGACTAAGAAGCTGCTCAAGTAGCCGATATCATTGGGATTTGGGAATGTTACCCCTCACGTTGCAGTTGCTTAAAGCAAGATAATGAATCGATGCAGAGAAATTCCGAAAGGAAACAGGATGTGGCATTCAATGGATTACCGCCCTTTTTTTTTCCCTCTTTTTTTCCCTCCCCTTCCCTCCCCTTCCCTCCCCTCTTATTTAAACGGTTACGGTTAAGCCATGTCAACATCTTATATTAATTTTTTATAGAAAGAGAAAGACAAAATAGAGAATGTAAGAGGAGAGGATGGAAATCCGTAAGATTGAACAATCGAAGAAAACATTAAGAGCCAAAACTCAAAAAGGTATATAGAAATTATTTTCCCATTAAAGGACCATTCTTCAACCGAAAGAATTAAACCTAAACATAGCCCCATCCAAAATTTTAGCCTTATAAAAAATTTTTTTGAACAAACGATATTATCTACACTAAGGGGAGATGATGGACTTAGTCTCACAATGGGCTAACAATAATGTGCTTCAAATTCGCCTTTGGCGAGAATAAAACTAAAGACCTTTCATCTACAAGTAAAGAGGAATACCACTATACTATAGTACTAAGTGGCATAAAAAAATATTTTTAAATAAACAATGTTAGGCCATAGTCATCCATCTTCAACCGAAGGGGCTAAACATAGCTCCTCAATAATTTATTAGTTTTAAATTTATACTACAAATTTATTAGTTCATTTAATTAAACTACCGTTGCATGTTTTCAAGTCTAACTATTGAATTTGAATTAATTATTGCAATTGAGGAATTAGGCCCTAAAAAAATAAAAATAAAAACTAAAGGGGGAGCTACATTTGGTTAGCCTAAAGCCCCTTTAATGGCCTGATGGACTCTATAAAATTATAGCCTAACCATTAGTTGGAGACGAATTTTTGAACAAATCTACTCATTTTTTGGCTTTGGACCTTTAGCCATCTCCTTTGAAGATGACCTTGCTGGTCAAAGTGAAGTGGAGAGGTTGCAAAGGAAGCGTTGGCAGTGCCCCGACAATTTCATAGAGAAATTGCCTTCCTCAAATGGGAGAAATTTTTTCATGTGACTAGAACACACACCTCAGCATTACAGGTAGTGTTCCCCACTAATAACCTGTTGACACCTGTATTCTTATAACATAAATACAATTAATTAAAAAAATTAAATTAAATCCACTCCCTGTTTCCTAGTCTCTAAATCACCTCCCACAACCTTCACCGCCCATGCCTCCCCAAGTGGAAAACTCCTTGCCGGTGACCTGCATCATCCACCCCACCCCCACTCATCCCTCCCTTCCCCACACATTTCTCTCTCCCTTTCTTTTTCATCTCAATATTTTGTCCTCCTTGTGCTCTTTCTGAGATGGACACAATGGATGCCGAAAGACAGATCCTAAGTTGAAGGTCGGAGACGACAAATTTGGGTCGATGGAGGTGGGTGGTTTCTGATAGGGTGTGGGAGAACGAGAGAGAAGGGGGAGGGGGAAGAAAAAGAGGAAGAGAGAATATATGGAGTGTCGCCGATGGAATCACAGAGAGGCGATAGAGGTGGGTGGTTTCTGATAGAGTGGGTGGTCAGCGTGGAAAATGTAGTCGGAGATTTTTCTGACTTCTTTCTCTTTGAACTGTAAGGGTATATAGGAGTTTTGTTTATTAATACCTATCATAAATATCAAAACGTGGCAATCTTTAATGAAATAGGCACGTGTTAAAGTTGTATTGGTTGGGAACTGCAAGTAAGCTAATGTGCCGGTCATCTGGAAAAATTTCCCCTCAAATGGTGCCCCGTCAATTTCATATGAGAAATTTTGCCTTTCTCCAAATCAAACTAGGCAATTGCTTCGTTCGATTCGTGGTGCCGATCTTCGATGTGCTTTTTAGAGGTTGTTGAAGTCTTCTTTTTATTCATTTTGGGGCTCGATTTGGCTTGATTTCAGGCCACCATTTCGAGTTTGGTGGTCCTTCTGATGGCAGCAGCGGCAGAGGATGCAGGCTCTTAGGATATTTTTTTTTTCCTGTTTTCTGTTGGGCTTGGTTTTGTTGTACATTGAAGGTCCATACTTTGTTGTTGTGTTTGATTTGTATGTGAGCTTCTCTCTTGTAAATATATGTTGTTGGCAATAAAACAAGCAGCCCATTGCCCAAAAAAAAAATAATAATAATAATAAAATAATAAAACTAGGCAACTGATGGTGTTTGACGCGGCAAAATCTGGGCCGATTAGTCTCCAAAATGGAGATCGAACGGTGCGTAGGTTTTCTACTTTTAAAATTAAAATAAAATAAAAAACAAACGTTTAAAAATATATTTAGAAAAAAAAAAAATCAACAATTTTTTTAGGGTAAATTATTTAATTATGCATTAAAAAAATTAATGTGAATAGTAATAGTCTGGAAAACTCTTAAACGGGTGAAGTTGCACTTCAGAATTGTATAGAGAACCAGCCAAAACCCCGACAACATAAGTAAAACACTACCGGATTATGTTAGTTTTAACTTAAGAAGCGAGACAATTCGGTTCCACCGGTTAAAACTTGAAGCAGCCAGAAACCGAGGAATCAGCTCAGGGCTCGAAAGTCATGCTTTCGGCTTCCCGTCTCACGGACTCAAACAAGACAGAGGAGAGATACCTCTCCCCAAAGCTTGGAAATATCACCTACATTGCGTAGATGTGTATTAGCAGTTGAGCAGAACGCTGATACATGGTCTATGTAACTGAATGGGAGTGATCCAACTTACAACAATGAGCTTTCCAGCATTTTCTGGTCTCTTTGCAATTTTAATTGCAGCGGCGGCAGCAGCTCCAGATGATATTCCCACCTAGAACAGATAATCAGACACTTGTAATTCAATACAGAGGCTGCAATACGGTGATTCATTCTAGATATGGCACAAATTCGAATGTGATGGCTCAATATCAAGGATATTAACTCACTACTAGTTGTTTGTAGGTTAAGAACTTACAAGCAAACCCTCCTTATGTGCGAGAAGCTTCGCTGTTTCAATTGCTTCATCACTTGATATCTGCAACACATCACAGATTTAGTACACGGGCAGCAGTAATAGGCTAATAGCTGTTAGAAACAAACTAACAAGCTGTGTCTTTTCCTAAGTTCTTTGCAGAGAGTTAAAGGAATTCCAAATGAAAAATCAATGGCTGTGTTTACACCAGCTCACAGAAATTGTTGGCCATTCATACACTCGACCATTAAAACACTATGAAAGACAATATATCCGGCTTGACTGCTGTTTCCATAAATGATTGTATTGCTATAACGATTTATGAAAAATGTCATGCACTTGAGTGACTATGATCGATTAAGTAAAAAACCTTTGAGCCTTACTTGAACAACTTCATCGATGATATTGACTTCCAAAACACCCGGGATAAAACCAGCTCCTATTCCTTGGATCTTGTGGGGACCTTTACATTAGAAGGAGCACAATAATTAACTTCAATAACGTGCAAGCAAAAACTAGAATTGACAGTCATGTATAAAGTTATAAATATATAAGCTAAGTATGTATCAGATTGAGGGATAATTTACACCATGTATGGTAGAATTGGGGTTTAGGAAGAATTTTCACTCCAACAGACTTTTGAGTTAATAAATCAGAAGCCAACTAAAGTTGAAAGCCAGAAGCTACAGAAAATAAGAGTAACACATTCTCAGTCATAGAAGAAAGAGACTCATTCCACAGAAGTAGTAACTGAGTGTCCCTCAATGAAACTCCTCCCTATGCTACCAGTCACATCTGAGATCAGTACTCTCCAACTGTTTATTACAGCCCTATCTCCATCAGAAACCAAATTACATTCGCAAGGCCAAAAATCTCACAGAAATTACAAACAAAATTGTCTCTAAACTAGTGAAAAGGCCAGTAAATAGATTGCAGAGGCCAGATTATGCAAGGAATACAAATATTCTCAGAGCAGCAATGCAGTATAACTCACCAGGCTTTCCTCCAGTTAGGACTGGACTTTCAGCTGGTTCCACACCATACAGCTAACATTAAGAAAGAAAAAGCAACACAATAAGACAAAGTAAAAGAGCATAAAAAACACGAAGAAAGTACAGGCTATTGTTCAGATCTTCTTCAAAAGAAGCTCATAAACAAATTTACCAAAGAACTTTTTAGATTAACCTTTAAAATGTGCTAACCTTTATGTCAGGGTTCTTCTCCTTTAGAAACTTCCCTGCACCTGTTATAGTTCCACCTGTGCCTATCCCAGAAACAAAAGCATCTACTTTCCCTCCCGAACCTTCCCATATCTCTGGTCCAGTCGTTTCATAATGTATCTACAGTAACAAAAATCAAATAACTTTTTCCAAGCACAATATACCCTTTGTTTTTCTGCGAGTTGCGCCAGCTTCATAACCTGTAGAATTGATTGAGTAGATACCTTAGGGTTGGCAGGATTTTCAAACTGCTGAAGAATGTAGGCGTTAGGTGTCTTTGCCAATATCTCTTCAGCCTTCTGAACAGCCCCTTTCATGCCCTTTGCAGGATCTGTGAGAACCAACTCAGCTCCAAAGGCCCGGAGGATGATTCTTCTTTCAAGACTCATTGAAGCAGGCATTGTAATGATAAGCCTGTAATGCTTAGCTGCTGCCATGAAGGCTAATCCTATCCCAGTATTACCACTTGTTGGCTCGATGAGGACACTCTTCAGAAAACACCATCCAACCAAATGTCAGATTCAATGAAGATCAGAAGCTCACAATAACTGTGAAACCAATATTTTTAGTAGTTTTATGAAATGTAGACTATTATTACATGTTTGAAATTTTTGCTTAACACTTCTAATGCAAAAAATCCTCTCTAATTACACAGTCCACTCATGTTTTCAGCCAAAAACATCCCATGAGAAAAGCATGGTTGCATCTTTTTCATCATTTGAAATTGAAATAAAACGCCAGCTAGGGGAGAAATCAAGAATAGTATAGGGGGAAGGCGGTTGCATCCTCTCTTTCATGCACAAATTCTTCAAAATACAACAGTCCTAGCCAGCAAGTTTCCTTATCAAATAACTAACCTGTCCAGGTGTGATAAGGCCCTTCGCCTCAGCATCTGCAATCATGCTATAACCAATCCTGCATTGTTTTTCAATAATCAGTAAACAATAACAGAAATCAGAGCAAAAGCACAACACATTCAGGTATTGCTGCCGCGAAACCAGCAAGCATAACAAGAAAATGACCAAACTGAAAGCCTAAATACCTGTCTTTTACACTGGAGCAGGGCTCCATCATTTCCAATTTGGCAGCAATACGAGCAACACAACCTTCCATGACATGGTTCAGATACACCAACGGGGTTTTTCCAATTAACTATACACAACGAAACAGATATTTTCAGCATCATAAACATAAACAAACCATTCAAAACACAATAATCTAGTGCACATAAAACTCGGATATTCGACAGCTTACTTCAGTGACATCTTTGGCGATGCCGGCCTTCTCAACGGCCATTTTGCTTCTTTTGCAGATTACTGCAACCGAAAACACACCTGGTACCTAAAATTTATTCCTTAACCATAATTACAATAAATTTACCATAATTACAATACATTTTAATCTTCATGGAATAAAAATAATTAAATTAAAAAATTAATAAGGCAGAAAAGTCTAACACAATCATTTAGCAAAAATAAGGAAACGACCGACTGCTAAGTTATCAATTGGCAATAAAGTTTAAGAATTGAATACAAGATTAAAGAGTATTTTCTTGAATATGTTTCAATTAACTTTCATTAATGATTTCATAATCTGGTTATGACAAAGATTAGTGGGTTTATCGCTATTTTTCAAAACCCCAGAATTTTTAATGAGTTTAATTTGCAGAACGATAGGGTAACTCATCTGTGGATGTGATCAGCGAAGCAAAAACAGTTCTTAATCTGTGAATGTGATTAACACTTAATTAAGACATAAAGACCGAGAATTTCACCTTTTGAGACCGTAAGATGATCACCACCACACAGCTGATGAGCACGCCTTGTGAAGAAGAAGATCAAAAATCAACGAAGCTACCAGAAATCATATATATTTAGTTCATAAATATGACGTCAAAAATACGATTATGTTTCATTGGGTTTTATGGAAAAGAACATTTTCTTAAGTATCTTGTGATCGTGACTGTACATCGTACATCGTAAGATTTGAAATTATTTTAAATTTTAAAATTAAATATAAATAGTATCTAATTAAAACTGATCGCACGATGTACGATGAACAATCACGATCACGAGATCCCTAGAATCCAAAGAAAATGATTCTCACCAGAATCATTTTCCGGGTTTTATATTGAATGTAGCTTACTTTTATGTCTTCCTACTTTTAGGGTAAACCTGGCGTGCGAATAAATATGACGCCATGTATTGATTTGTGCAAAGTATTACAATGTATGGAGGGTTATATAAAGCCTTGTTTTGGTAGAATTTTATTATAATTAAATAGAAAATTACTTTCATATAATACATGATACTTGTGGAGATAACTTCGGATTAATTGCCTATTTTAACATTCCGCAAATTGTACGAGCCTAATTAAACAACCTTGAAACAAAAGAGCTTATAACGAGGCTAATGAAGAGTCTTGGTGTGAACAATAAAGGCAATTTAGCAAACACGATGACTACCAAGACAACTTTTTCATGAACAAAAAATGATAATCCAGTTCAATGTGAAATGTGCGAGCATTATGAACTTGGTTAGCACTCAATTTAATGCAGTAAATAGGAGTAGACAAGTGAACACCACGCTCACCAAGAAGAAAGAAAATCCAAGTGGTCTCAGTGCATGCACGAGCATGGGAGTGATACCCAAACTTTGCATAGGAGCGGGAAATTGTCGGCTGCTTTTTAAAGCATCAGGAGATGAGATTAGAACCAGATAATAGTAGTAAAGTACCGAGTATTCGGACAACCCGCACAATCAACATTAATGTCACAAAAAAAAAAAGACATAATCAGAGGGCAAAGTTAAACAAACAAATATCTAAGACAAAATAAAAGATAAAAAATAAAAAGTGAAAACTCCTCTATTCACCAAAAAAAAAAAAAAGAGTGGAAGTCGTCTCTCATATAAATTAGAAACCATTCGATAATTAGTTCCTTTTCAATTTTTTTTAAGCTAAAAACTTGTTTGTTAATTACTTTCAATTTTAAAAAAAAATGAAAAACTAAAAATTAAAAGCTAGTTTGCTTTGTTACAAATTTTGACTTTTGATTTTTTGTTTTAAAAAATTAAAAAATAGTTATTAAACAGTGCTAAATCAAAGCGATTTTCCTAAGCATTAGGTATTTAAGTAGTACTCCGCATGACATACTACAAGTAGATGAAATAATATATTTTTTTCAGATCACTCCACTTACTAATAACACATAGAATACACTTTTGAATACCGGTCACTTGCAAAAATTTGTCCCTAAACCACATTAGAACTTTGGTTTGGAAACCAAATAAAAACTTTGATTTGCTTGCAAACCCATATTAGCCCATGCCTCATAAATAAACCAAAAAACAGCCAAAACCTTATCTTTTTCCACACCATAAACAATACAACACTTCGCATTGCCACAGAAACTTCCCCTCATTTCCCACCTCAGAACCCAACACACCATGGCTACTCTCCACTTCACTCCTAAACCCTCCCCTTCTCTCACCCTCCCAAAACAAGTACACACAACCACCAATCTCTCCGCTTCATTCCAGCTCAATCTCCGGCCGCGCCACCGCTCACGGCGGTCCTACTCCTGCACCGTCCGATCCTATAAGGTGGTGGTGGAACACGAGGGTCAGTCTACCGAGCTGGAGGTGGAGCCTGATGAGACCATACTGGAAAAGGCATTGGACTCCGGCCTCTCTGTGCCGCATGACTGCAAGCTCGGCGTGTGCATGACTTGCCCTGCCAAGCTTCTCACCGGCACCGTCGATCAGAGTGAAGGAATGCTGAGTGATGATGTGGTGGAAGGCGGGTACACATTGTTGTGCGTGTCGTACCCGAAGTCGGATTGTCATATTAGCACAATCCCGGAGGATGAGCTGCTCTCACTGCAATTAGCAACTGCTAATGACTGAAATTTTCGGATTTTGGCAACTGGGGAGTTGACCCATGTTTGTATTGAGTTGTGGGTTGTTGAATACAAGTAATTTCTGCTTTGTTTTATCACTTAAATCGTTTGATATCTTATGCTACCAGTTGATGATTGTTCAAAGCTTATGAATGAGTACGCCGTTCATTTTTGGCAAGGCGATATTCTAAACTACTTTAACCTACCAGGAGGGACTCAAACACTAATGCAAAGGGTGGGCACCCTGCCGTGACCGATTGACTGGCCTAACTGATGGGAGCAAAAAAGCTAATCAACTTAGGCATATACATGAAGGGATCCTAGAAGTAATGGGATTTAACGTAATCACAGAATTCAGACCGCTGTTAGGGATCGAATCAGTTAGGTTAAACAGATGATAAATGCACTAATTTCTCCAGCTCCATTCAAAAAAATTTCAATATGGCATGGTGCATGTACAATGCAGAAAGAGAGAGAACTGATCATTATTTATACATTACAAAGAAGAAAAATTTACGCTAATAGTTCCACAAGAGTAAATTTGTTTAAACAATGCTAGGGGATTAAGGGACTGCAGTCCACTCGATGAATTCCTCTCGTGCCGTGGTTGGCTGTGCAAATAAAAGAGGGGTGAATACCTAGTACCTTAAATAGTTACACCATCATGGTGGTTGTTGCAAGTCCTCATCTCTCAGAAAGGGAGGGCAGGGCAGTCCCCTCTCCTAGCTCGAACGAAAGTAGTTTCCAACACGAGGAGTTTTTTGTTGTTGAAATTGTCTAAACCAGCTTCCTAAGTTGCATACGAGGAACTACGTTTCTTCCTGTTTATTTGCTTTAACTTCACCTTCACATTAATCCCACTATCAATGACAGACTGAAGCACAATTTGAAGCTTACCCTCCAATTTATCCCCCTTCCTAGGTGTGTAAATCACATCATGGATATCATCATCCAATGCCCTCTGCGCGAGAATTTCCCCCACAGCAGCACAAGCAGCTGCATTCCTAGTCGAACAAAGGTCAAACTTCATGTCCTTCGATATGGAATGTGCCACAACAACAACCTTACTGGTCACTCGGTGAATGATGCACGCACGAACAGAAGCCTTTGATATGAAAATGTCTAGGCAAAATGGCTCATGGAAAGGACCCGTTAGCTGATTATAGGTCGGACTCCTCAGTTTCTTCTTCCCAACAGAAATAGTGCCCAATTCATCAAGTGGAGAATCGTTCACAATTCTAGATTGTTTCTCGCTTCTGGAGGGCAAGTCAAGACTTAGGTAGTCTCTTTTGCTGTCCTTTAACTCATTATCCTTCCTTTTACTTTCCTTTGGATCATCCTTTTGCTTAGAAGACTTCTTCCTGCGATGGAAGTTAAAATTATACTCCTCAAACTCTTTGGAATCGCGGTCGAGTTTAAAGAACAGATGGCCACGAATTCTCATGTTGTCAATGTCATCACAGTCCGGGTCACCTTCAACAGGTACTGAGCAAGTATCAATTGGCTCATCAACCACTTCATCAGATAACGAACTTGAGTCCAATGCAGACCCCTGCATTCCTCCCCCTGCCAATGCCAAACCGGATGAAACTTGCCATGCCACATGATCAACAAGCTCAGTATCGTAACTGTCTGAATGAGGTTTAGAATCGTCGGAGGGGAACAAAGGAGAAAGATGAAAGCTACTAGAGTAATTGGCAACTTTCCCGGAATGATCTGCTATGGGAATGATGGTTGTGGTGGTTGGCTTGCAGCAAAAGTTACGAGCAGCCCTTGAAAGGAAATGCGGAGACAGTGCCGAAGCAAATGCGATTCCTCTCTTTGAGAACATTATAGTAAAGAGTAATACTGCTGTATCTCGATTTGAGCAAGAAAGTTCTCTAAGGAGCAAATCATCAAACAGTTGGTAGGCGATTACTGCTATACCTCGTTTGGCGCCCGCCCCACGCTAGTTTTCCCCACAGCTCGTCCTACCCAGCTGCCATGAAGCTCTCTCTCTCTCTCTCTCTCTCTCTGTGAAAGCTGGTCACTCTGTTGGTTGGTCAATACTAGGGGCTAGGACGCAGGTCTTATGGAGGGATACGCCATTAGATGTATCGTGTTCAAACCTAGACAAATGCAATTTACAAGGAAAGGCGGCATTGATCTTATCTGATCAAACCGGCCAATTTGAATTGTAGGGCCGGTTTTTGTTTGGTTTTAACGCTCTATTGAACTAAATTGTAATGAATTATTTGGTTACAATTTTGGCCTTTTGCAAACCCACTTAAATTAAATTGAACCGCCCACTCTTGTATTTTATATTAACCTTTTGTCACATGCGTACAATTATTTGATTATGATTTTTAGTTTTGCAAACTCACCTAAATTAAATTGAACTGGTCACTGTTATATTATATACTAACATGTTGTCACGCGCATGTTCGTGTTGCAATTGGCCTTTTAGCTTTTTTTTTGTTTTAAATTTTATAACTGAATTCTATTTTGTTTCAAAAAAGATTCAAAGAAAAAGGAGCCCACCATAACCACCCACCATGTGGTGGGTTTTGTTTTTGCTGTTTTTATTGTATAATTTTCATTCGGAATCCAAATGGTCTTGAATTATTATTCTCTCTTATTAATTAAATTGTCTTTCAAAAGCTTTAATAAGGGAGAGGCATAGACAGAGGGAGCAAGAGAGCGCCATACAGAACCATATAATCAAATCCGGGTCCTCGCCAGATCCTCTTTGTGAGGATCCGTGCGGTCTGAAAGCATTTTAAATATTTTTATTTAAAATTAAACATAAACAATACCTGATAAAAACTAACAACACAATGTAATATGAACAGACACGATTCACAAATCCTCATGATCCTCACCAGCAAGATCCACAGAGGATCCTGTCGGCATAAAATCCCCTGTTATGTGCGGTCACAACAGATATAGGCCCTCGAAAACTGAAGATTTGAGAGCGCCACAGAGAACCATAGACAGGGAGGAGAGACAGAACCATAGAGAATAACGTAGAGAAGCATTAAATAGTCTTTCTACAACTAAACTGAAGAAGAGTTGGTGGTGCCGTGGGTCGATGTTTTAAGTCATCCTAACAACTTTTTCACAATGACCTACTACTACTACAGCTTGATCAACATTAGAAATACAACTTCTCACCGTGACGAAGCAAGAAGCATGACGAAATATCATGATTAATACACACATCGCTACCATGAAAACGGTTAGTGATTACAAACAAGCCCATTATAAAAGCGGATGAGATCTCAGGTCATCGTATCAGTGCTTACCGTCTTCATATGAGGTTTGTCATGTCTATCGGTAGTAAGCCGGCTGATAAGCTGGTACCATACCATTGCCATAAGCCCCATATGCAGGATAGTTCATCGGAGGTCCAGGGTATGATCCAGCATGAGGAGGGGGTGCTGCTTCCGGTGAGTATGCATAAGGGGTTGGTGGGCTTCTGCTACCATACATGGTGGGTGGGGAATGGTACGGTGAGAACCCAGCAGGATACTGGCCATGGGAAGGAGACCTGACAAATGTAGGAGGTGTAGGGAAAGAAGACACATATGCATTCGTCAAGCGTCCAGCCTTGGCCGGAGGCATGGGACCGCCATTGTTAGCTCGTACTCGTTTGTTGGCTGGGACTACAACTGGCCTTCTCTTCTCTGGTTTCACCTTCTCTAGCTGTTCAAGGCGCTTCTTGAGGTCTTCTGGAGGAAATTCTGCCTCAAGGTTATAATCTTCAATGCACTTGATGACAGCCCGGAGCGCTGACAGCTCTTTGCGTCCAGCTAGGTTCTGCATACGAAGAGTTAAGTGATCAAAGAATGTGCAGTTTTTTCTGTAGGTTTAGTTTCTCCTACAAATGAGGGCAGCAAACTTAAGTTCATGCACTTTTAGGGGCATCTTTCTGAAGAAATCAGAACGCAAACAAGGATGTCTATGACTGCACAATGCCTCATCATGAAGACATCCATCGGAAATACCATTATGCCTCATTTGCAAAACTACCAACAATTTGAAGATAAGGCCACACCAAATACTCGAGCGAACTTACGTTCATTTCTATATGAACTGCCTGCAATTATTGGTGAGAAAACAAAAATTCTAATTGCATCTTGACTACTTAATTGATGCATAAACTGGAAATCATATTCCACCCATATAGAAGAGTTTATTGTCCCAAAAACTTGTCAAACTACATACATGTTCCCACAATAAGATGAAACTGGCATGAATAAACACTATGAGAGCAAAACTGATGCAATAAAATAGTAAGAACTGTGGGAAAAAAATATGATCATGTTCACATCTAATAATTAGTAAAGGGTAAGATGCTAATATCATGCATATCTTGTAGATGGCTGTCATTCTCTCCATTAGAGGAAAGTTTTTTGCGAGGGCGGGGTGGTTCCCTCTTCTACTTTATACACAAACAAAAAAGGCATAAGTTCCCTTCCCTTTTCTTTCTTCTCTCTCTCTCTCTCTCTTCCCAATCATTTGAGAAAGGGGGAGTGGGAAAAAGGAAATTTTAAGGAAATGATGGGGAGTTATGGGAACCAGAAGGTGACACACACACACACACACACATACATTTGGAGATGCATATTCAGGACTGAAAACCATGACATATGAGATCAAGAACAAGAATAGATGCAATGATTAAAATAATACCACAGCTCGCCCAGCGTTATTGGGATCTTCCAAAATAGAAGCCGCAGCTTTCTTAGCATCCTTCAGAAAAGCTTTCAGTAGAGGAACAGGAGGAAACTTGTGCACAAGTCCAACCTCATAGGTGAAATGCACCGCATCAAGCTGCTGTCCCCTGCTGATCAATTCTTCAATCATACCTGCACACATAGTAACAACCTCCAAACATTAAAAATTGGAGAATGGTGCCCTCTTTATTGTACATATAAAGAACCATATCAAAACATTCCCAACTAACACAGATGGATGGAAAAAGCAAATCTTTACGAAACTACTACAAGGTCCATGAGATACCATCGCAATGTTAAACATTGAAGTTCTACCATCCACAATTTCTTTACAATACATTGGGAATAGCTGAAGAGTAATGCCGATCATATGAATCACTATCAAACAATTCTACAATTTATCATTGGAAAGAGTAGACATTTCGACATAGAAGCCGCTGTCGGGGATATAACATGACCTATAAATTACACGTCTCACTCAAAATTTTCTAACCACACAGAAAAATCACCACTTCCTCATCCTACATATATAGAGCTTATAAAGTAACACATTTTCCATGAACTATAAGCAACACCAAGCAATGGCAAAAGAACTGCATCGAAAATATTACAATTACAAATAACAACAATAAAAGAAAGGAACAAGTTAGCATTAGGGAACGCACCCGGCATTTGCTTGGCGAGGCCAAGCGAAACTGCGAGCTTCGGCATCTGCTTGCGCCAGGCTGAGTTAACCACAAGCTTCCTGTACAACTCAACATCCTCCTCCTTCACAATCCCGAAAGTCACCAAATGCTGCAGGAACGTGTGCACATCAGGAGTCTTCACGTTCTCTATGCCGCCTCTCTCCTCCAAGCTGGCCTTCCAGGTCTCGGATATCTCGGTGGCGCGTTGCTTCACGCTCCGCGTCACCAGAAGCCTCTTTCTCCCGATCTTCGGGTCCATCATCACCGGAATCAGTGACTCCAGCAACAGAACGCAGGCCCAGCCCAAATCGTTTCCCCTATCACTCCTCTCTACTCTCTTGTCCACCGGAAACACCTCCGATATCGCCTCCAGCACGAAATTCGCCGGATCGACACAATCACCCAAAGCCAGAGGCATCTGCGACCTCAGAGCCTCCAATTCCTTCTTCCTCGCCGTCACGAACCTCCAGAACCCTCCAGAATCCATCTTCAAGCACAACGACTTGAGATTCATCAGCAACCCCTCGCCGTCGTCCACCTCCCCGTACTCGTCATCGCTGCGGGCTCTCTTCAACACCTTGAGCGCCGCCTCCTTGCTCTTCTCGACCTTGCCAAGCGCGACTTCGAAGATGTCCCTGATCGAGCCCTCGCGCTGCTCGAGCTCGTCGAGCGAGGCCTTGGTCTCGTGCTCCAGGGTCTGGATTTTGAGCTTGATGGCCTCGGATTTCTTCAGGAGGTTCTGCTCTAGGGACGAGAAGTGGTCGGAGAGCTCCTTCCAGAGGAGAGTGCAGCTGGTCATGAGAGAGGTCTGCCGCTGGAACTCGTCGAAGCTCGGCGGAGTCAACTCAGTCACCTCGCCGGGATCGGGGATCGACCCCATTATCGTCGTACGGTGCAATCAGCGGCCAAAGGGGAACAAGATATGGTAGAGAGAGAAAGGAGAAACCCTAGAATTCGGAGGTAGAGAGAGAGAGAAAAAGCAAAAGCTTGAGCAGTGAGCTTAAGCTAAAGCAAAGACAGCCGGTGGACAGGAGAAAGAAGATGACATTGCGCTGACGTGGGTGGAGGAAGGGTTGACACGTGTGGAGGCGTCTCGAAAGGGTGGCTAGAATGCGCTGGTGGCGGGAGGGTAGGGTGCGCAGGATAAGGGAAATGGTAATGTGAGAGTAGGAGAGGAGGATGACGTAGGATAAGGGGGTGTTTGGAAAAGGGTATAGTGCTTTCCCGGAAATCGAAGCTGGATGGAGGGAGAAAAAGCCGGGAGAGGCGGTGTGGGGGTGGGTGGGGCAGGCCCACTGAGAGCACCACATAGGAATAGGAATGGGATTGGATGGTCAGATAAAGTGCCGGATTACGTAGTCATGTATGTACGTGAACAAACAATGACCGCGTGCGCATTGTGATGAGTCAGCCGTCAGTCACACATTCATTATCTACGCGTCAAATTTTTTCGTGTGCTTCGAGTATTCGGTTCTTTGCATTTAAACGAAAATCCAATGCTTAAAACGTATTTAGAGTCTTCCGTACTTCCATCTTCACCTGTAAACAAAAGGAAGTTCGAATTTAGAGTTAGTCTTTGTATTTCCAACAAAACGTGCTCTGCGGCCTCTTCTAATTCCTCCATAAAACTTGTCGTTAATTTGATTATATGAAATGACATAAGACGTGTAACTTGATTCGTAAAATTCAAACCATAGTTTAGCTTTGATGCATAAACTAGTTTTGATTTTTTCTGATTTCATGAACGTATATTCAAAATTAGATATGAAAGACCCATGAGTGTGCCACATTGTTGTACTAACAAAAAAAAATTTATGGAAGTAAACAGTAGAAACTAAAGTGAATGTTCAATAACAAGTTCTAAAATATTTTTTTTCTATCAATATACTTTAAGTTGAACAATGAAAATTCTAGAGTACCTCAATTTACGATATACTTTATCAACTTCAACAAATAAATGTGCGATGAAGGATTAAAAATATATTAAAACACTCAATCAAAGTCACTTCAAACGCAATGTATACGTTAACGTAGAGTAGAATTAGTTGAACCAAACCATCCAAACTGGTCATGCACATACATACAAAATAGAAAATAGGAAATTTTGCATTATTCGTCCCTTGCTGTGTCGGGCATTTCATTTTCGTCCTTATAATGCAATTTTTATCTTTTCCAAATTCGTCTTTATGCTCAGCACCGTTGGTAGATAGGGTTCACAGCTATTAAGATTGACATATGAACCTTGGAAAGGTTGCCATAGCAGGCGATGGTGGGAAAGAACCCCAAACAAACATCTACATAAAGTTACAAATGTTTTATCCTGCGCACCGGGTCGTGTGCATGGGTTACACATAACTCGGTTCAATCTAATAACGTTATAACGATATTCCAACAATTCAACAACTGTGATGACGCTGACACGGACTGTAAATGATCTAATTTTATTGTTGTTGTTATAGTGATATTATGGGGTCAAATACTTATTGTTATGACATCAAATTATTGTTGTTGACAAGGTTGTTATGGGATCATTAAATTAAGCGCATGTAGCCTTGTGACATCTTTTATTACTAACGTTGCATCAAACATTACAATAGCGTATGCTTGTGTTATTTAAGTTGATTTGGCCTAATATCATTACATAATGTTACTACTTTACGAGTTTATATTTTAGAAGGTCCTTTATAAGTAGTCCTTGAAAAATTTCTATAATATCAAAACAGTCGCTAAAATTAACTAATAGTATCAAGATAGTCTCTAAAAATAAAAATTATTTAATATAGCACTTGGACATGAGTGCCGCAAATTAACGTGATGCGTTTGTTAAAATTCCGTCAAAATTTTTGTTTGTAAGTTTAACGTGCCACACATTCTCATTAAGCAGTGTAACGTAGTGAAAAATAAAAGAATTAATATGAAAATAATAACAAAAAAGAACTATAAAATAAAAAAGAAAAAAAAAAAAAAGACCATCATTGATTCGACTGCAGAACCATCATACCATCGTTTTTGTCAATCCTTCCCCCTCCCCTCCTCACCATGACCGCACCAACCAACCCCGACTCGCCTCCCTTCAACCCAACAGCCAACTCAGCCCAATCTCCGGTTGACAGTGACACCAAGCCAGTCCCCCATCGCAAGCCCTGATCCCAACTTTGAGACAGCGAGGCAATCTATGAACGAAAAAGTTTTGAGACAAGCTTGGATCACGTCTTCGGCTCGATCATTGCAGCAATGGCCTTTGGTGGACGATGATCTCCCTTTGCCTCGGCTCTCTCTCCTTGGTACCAATTGAGTCTTCCACATCGTGAAAGTAAATGCGGCTTTTAATATTTTTATTTTTTTAATCATTTTGAATTAATGATTTTAAAAACTAAATCGTTAGCCAAAAAAAAAAAAAAAAAAAACCAGACTCAACCATCAACCGTTAGATTATGTGATTTCTAAAAGATGGCTAAAAATTAACTCTCAGTGTTATTTCTTTAGTTTTTTTTATAATAATTTTCAATAATTTATTCATGGCAATACTTACGTATTTATGAGTTTAATATGTGTCACATCAACACATTAATAAATTTTTTGTAAAATTATAATAGAATGGCCACCGCATTAATTTGCGATTTTCATATTCAAAATCTACATTGACCGATTCTCATTTTTAAGAACCATCTTAATAATATGAGATAATTTCAAGATAAAAACCCTATTTTAGAATAAATAAAGTGTGAATAGAGTGCGTGTCAATTAGTTGCATAACTAACACAAAGACAAAGGCTTCAATGAATCGGGCTTTTGCGGGTGGGTGGGGCAGAGGAACTTCAACCCTTTTTGTGTCACGTGATTAATTGATTATTGGGTGCATTAAGCACGTGACACTGAAGCCCATGGCAAATGTTGAGCAATTATCCAACCAACATCTTGCCATTAAACACTTACCATTCACCAAAAAAACGTTACTAAGCAATTATTGGCTGTCATACAAGTTGTTCATCTCAGAAACCGTACAAATACAAGCGCTCGTAATAAATCCTTTTGCTACACTGAATTATCTTGTTTTATATCACCAAGAGCTGTAGCAGGAAAAAACTCCGTCCAAGAATGATCGTCAGGCATCCGAAGGGGCTTCACGCCTCGGCCTTGCGACATTAGAGAATGCTGCTCGAATATTACGTAGAGCTTCCATCACCTACGATGCCATGAGACGGGATGGCTGAACCCAAACAAAGAAACGAAAAGGCCTTGAGGTTGATGATCATATGGTGTTAAAAAGTAATAAATGGCATATATTAAAACGTACATCGATACCTTGAATGTTACCACGAATCTACTTGGATGACTTGTATTCCCTAAGGCTTTCGATCACGGCCTTCTTTCTTGTGTCGAAATCAACTTTGTCAAGATCATAAGCTGTTCCGAGATAGCCATATAGGATCCTCTTCTTCTCCCGCGTCTTTTCATCAAACCTGACAAGGTTTGGATTGTTATCATCACCCCTACTGCCCAGTGTTGGCGGCTGTACACGAGCCCAGCCCCTGCGCCCATGATTTTCCATCTCAAAGAACTCTGCCATTCGAATGGCATCCTTAAGGCCTGCTTCGTCACCGGAAAACTTAACCAGAGTCATACCCAAATGACCATCTCTACCGTATAAGGATTTCGACTTCCCACTTCCAAATCCAAGATCTGTTTACCAGAAATTCCATGAGAAAACATGCAACTTGTCAAAAGGACCTAATCAATCCACATGAAATGTCATGACAATGGCTGCCAACAGCCATAAAAGTGCTTAAAGTACCCCCTATGTCCCTATCGTTAAGAACCATTAAGAAAACGGCTTTGTTGATGACCACCAGACCAATGTCAAAATGTTCCAACATGGTCCAATGTTAACATACCATATATACTTGTGACTTGATGAACCCGAGTTGCCAAACATATATCAGACTAACAACAATGACAGACTGCAAATATCGATTGTAACATACATAAGCATAAAAGATCCAGTCAACGAATGATAAACTATCAAAAACCCAACAAAATAGAAAGTATTATATGTTAACGGCAACACCACCTTTTCACCCAGCCTTTCCTGGACTTGGTTCCAAACCCAGATGTATCACCTCAAATTCTCCTAATATAATGTAGTATGCAACAACGTAACTTCTTCATATCCACTGAAAAGTAAACTATAAATACAAACTTGTGTGCATGTATCACAAGGAACTAACTCTCCGCCCAGGCTAAGGTCACCATCCTAATCCTACACAACTGGCATCATGTTGCATTTGACTAAAAAGGCTAGGACAAACTGAAATCTTATGTTATGCTGCAGAAGTTAAGAGAGTTGGTAAGGAACTGCCTAACTAGCAACCAAGCCTATTAAACAAGCAAAAGCCATTTATCAAAAGGTTAAAATCTAACATTAGAGTTATCCTCTCGAGTTTATCTAGGTTCTATGTATGAAAGATCTGCAAGAACATTGCTCGTTCTGCCAGACAGTGCCCCTTGTTGGTTGTCTCAGTTCAGTAAGAGATCTATCCAATTTGCCACTTTTGGCTGAACTGGGTTGATGTTCAAGTGCATGGACTTGGGAGGATCCGAAGTTTATTACGTAGGATAAAAAATTTGGCAAAAAGATGGGCGAAAGGCTGTGATAAGAGGTCCAAACCCACTTAAAACCTCTGGTTTTCAATTTGGTTGCAGGTGTAGGTGAGGGACGAAAAGTTCTGACAATAGACACAAGCATTCTTCCCCTTCAAGATCACCCAACATGAGACAACACCCAAACCATCATATAGGAAACTAACATATCCTTTCATTTCATGACAAAAAAAAAAAAGTTTCAATGGAAAAATTAAGACAAAATGACAGAGATTGGAATTCAGATGCAACCAAGACATTAGCAAGCTACAACTAGCTACCATAGCCTTTAGAATTCTTTGTTCTTGATGGTCTTTGATATTGAAGCCCAAGATCCTGGTAATCCTCACAAAAAAATCTTTGTTCTTGATGATCTTTGATAGTGAAGCCCAAGATCCTGGTAATCCTAACCCAGATTACCTCATTCTTAACCAGCACTAAGAGCGGTTGTACAGGTAAGAAAAAAAGCCAAGCCGATGTGTCAGGATTATTTCATTCACCACACAATTTAAAATGAATAAATCAAATCAAATAAGAAGGGTTGTAAAGAAAATGCAACTATAAAAAGTAAGTACAACATTCTAGCTCAACTGAGATAAATTAATAAATTTGGTCTAAACTGGATCACAGAGGTAGTTATTGCATGTCCCAAGTCACTAGGATCACAGAATTAGGAACTGGTCTGTCTAAAGTAATAGCGAGAAAATGGTTAACAATGCCAAACTGGTCCAAGAAAATGGCAAGGGTGGTGGCAGACTGAAAAAGGGTGAATAGGACTTAAAACTTAGAACTCAACAATAAAAAATACAAGATGACGACTATCATAAAGAAGAGTACAAACCATAGGCGGAACCATTAAAAGTGAAGAATGAGATTCAACTAATCAAAATTCCTCCCTGGCGATTAGAGGGCAATGCAATAATAACAAAGTGCATGAATTAGGAACCCTGCATTAGGCTCAGTTTGTTGCATGCTCATCTCAACCATACTTTAATTGCCACATAGAGAACACAAGTATCGCACATAAAAGAAGATTATATGGAACAACTAATCTCCACACGTCATATAATCCCTGCAAACTACAGTTGCAAATGCATTCTATATTTTCCATTAAGCTCAACCTAAGGCCATTCCAGTATGATCAAGAAGTCCAGATAAAATATATAAAACAAAAAATACCTATTATGAAGGGAAGCACTAATACCTCACATGGACCAGCTAGACCTTCCCTTTCCATACTCAATCAAATAAACTGTAAAGGGTGACAGGAAACTAAAGGTACTAGCACGCATGGCTTTTCTTTTCACCTCACCTCCCAGTAAGCCCTATGAATATCCTTGCAAGATACTATGGCTTATTCCATGCCACATTTTTTAACCTTAATTCCCCAGGGGGTGGATAACCTAGGACTAATATTCTATGGAATAGGCATGCTGCATGCTGTATCTACGAAAGGTTGACTCCATCCAATATAGATGTCAATCTATTAAAATGGTCTCTGAATATACTATATGCATTTACAGATTAAAAGGAAGGGCTCACAGCTAAAATAGGACGCGTAAAGAGCACTTGACCTGGGACCAACCTCTCCAAAGAACATTCTGATAGAAAAAAGCATAAAGAATGACACATATGAACTATGAAGAAGTATACCTCTAATATTACTATCCATTGCTTTATTGCCCAAACCCTCCATGCGGCCATCTTTACTCTTTCCTGTAACAGTATTATGAATTATCACCACAGGTGGCCACATAATCAGATCATCCACATTTGCTGCTGCTGCTTCAGCAGAAAGAAACTGATACGCCTTTAAGTTATCGGGAGGCTTCAAGTAGTCCCAACCCATTAGAACACACAAAGCCTTGTGGAACCCCAGGTGATCCACGCGCAAGTCAGCACTATCAGAGTTGTAACTGTGCATGATGAGACTATGCATATCTGGAAAATCTTTAGAGGACCTGAAATAATGCATATCAAGGGAATTGAACAATGTATTTCAGGTTTACCTCTTAGATAGCATTAATGCCCTACAACTTCAAACTCCAAAGGGCAATGAAGAAGATGCATTTACCAAGGCTATTCGTGTGAGCTGATATCATTATATCATCAAGTGTAAAGATGCATTTTCTTAGTTTCATAAAATGATATTACTTAGATATTTTCATTTAATGAAAGACCCTGACACAAGGTAAATAATTTATAATGAAAAAGGATAATTTTGTAAGATTGGGGTATACACACAAATAACTGTGTAAGCACAACGCTGATAGGTAACAATATGATCGGACAAAGAACTGTAGCACTATCCATCATAAAATAACACATAAGAAGCCAAAAATTGCATCATCGTAGCTAATGCAAACTTAGTTCTATAACACGGCTAGTGGCACTTAATTTCCACAACTAATGCAGAAATTTCAAGGGGAAAAGAAAACAACAAATATAAGAATCAACATCAAAAAAGCATCCTGAAATTCTCATGTAATCTTTACGTAAGCAAAGTTGGCCTCTAAACCTTTGCACAAAACTTGGGTTACAGTAAACTCCATCAAACAGACTAGGTCAACTGAGTCACATACACCAGTAACGGGTATTTGATTAAGTCAATACAAAGTAAAATTCTAAGTCTTTGCATTCATATTTTTCCAACCTACAATATTTTGTCTGTTTGTCTCATACACAAAGAAAATCCTAGTGTTCTAGTAAATGAATCATGTGGAATGATCCATGTGAATGTGATGGCATGTGGTCTAGGTTTCAAAATTAGACGGAACAAAAAAGATAGTGGTAGTAGTACTTGAACAGAATCAATCAGAAGAGGTTCTTGTAAAGTTCACACAAGAAACATAAATACAAAGCTAACAGCAAGAAAACCCAATTTATTAAAGGGGAACAAAAACATGTGTTAAGAAGAAAATAGTAAAAAAGATGCCACCCAACAAATTCCTTTCGACTCACATACAAGACAGAACTTGGATGTCAATAAGGGCTTCAATCAGTCTGAACCAGTCAGTAGCAAAATGTAGAGAGGTATCTGATTCTCTACAGTGGGGAAACAGAAAGGAGATCTATGCATAGGGAATCCTTATCAATAAATTAGCTCAAAACGCATAAGGGAAGTTATGGTGTGCACTGTGTAACCAATCCCAGCCCACTATATCCACTAACCGACAAAAAAAACAGAAGCAGAGCAAACCAGAATAGAAAATGGAACCAAGTGACATCTAGTAAACCACATGTTGCAAACAAGTATTAAATAGAATTATAATTCATCCTCACATTTGCTTTGCTCCCATCAATCACAATACCAGATCATTGAAAAGCAACAAGTTCTTCTCAAAAAGAGAAAGCAAAGATAGACGCTTGGGAACAAAAAATCTACCGGGTACTTAGAGGCCTGATGATGTAGGAAACTAAATAATAAACAATGTAACTCATTGCTCCTCAGTAATGATGCAGAATATTCTTAATTCCATAACAAACAGGAAAGTAAATGCTAATATTGTAGATATTATTGTGCATCATGTGAGACCAGAGAAAAAAAGATAGTAATGGATATTTACATATGGATTCATCCTGGTATGGCAAGCATACCAATTTTACACCAATGCTGTGTGAATACAGTTCAAAATATCAGCTCTTATAAACCATCGAAATCCTACTAAACAACAAGCACATATGCATGTGCTTCCTTGTATAAATATTCTCACAAGGAACAAAATGGGTTCCAACAATTCGAAAATACCAAAACAAAGATTCAATCGAACAAATTCAGCCTCTAGACTTGAACAGCTCATAAAGAAAGAGCTAGTGCCCATTTTGCCACAAGTTAGACAGCACTGGTAACAATCTAAAAGAACTGTACAGACGCAACGCACTCTCTTATGAGAACAGAGCATGGATCAAATCGAATGCCCACACCCTATCAATTGCACTGAATAATCCTGGATCTACGCTGGGATGGACTGAGACTTGCCCAAGTCAAATATATTTCTTAAGGGCCAGCTCAGCCCATCTGAGTCTTAGCCTGACCTGACAACAGTCAGTAACACCAAAAGAAAACCTCATCTCAATCAGCTTTAGGCTAAACCAACCACGTCGTTTGAGCTACCATCCAACTAGTAGTCCTAGAACCTACAAATCATCACAGCCATATATGTCCAAACCTTTAGGAATAATGAGAAACCACCTTCACTATAAAGTATAAACAAATACATATGGGCATATACATACAGTGATAGTAAGGTCGTACGTAAATAACAACTCTTTCATACACAATAAGTAAGGGATCGATGATTCTCCAAACGCTGTCGGGGTAGATTTCCAAAGGAAATCTAAAAATAAAAAAAGCAAACCATGAAAAGAAAACAAACTTTAGGAGCCACTCATTCTCCCCTCTCTGTTGGCACTTTCCAGGAGGTAATAAACTATTTAATCTGTAACAGAAAATATACAGCACCTCTTCCACATCAATAAAAGGACCCACTGATATTCCAAACTTCGTTGGAGCATAGATCCCTAAAGAAATCTAGGAAAAGCCTAAAGCAATGAGACTCTTCCTAATCCTAAACATACATTTAGAATTCCCACAGCACAGTAATGACATATGTATAATGTTCCTACGAATCATTCATGATTCTTTCACATATGCAAGCAACTTCTTGGTATTCTCACAAACCTACTTATCATTTTAAGGGATATCGAACAAAAATTTTTACTTTGCGTTGAATGGCTAGCATCAGGTCACCATCAAATGCCACCACAACAACATACTTACCAACTCTATATGAATTTATATGAAAAGAAGCATCATATGTGTATGTACACAAATCTTAACTAATAATTATCAATAAAGATAACTGATGAACTAAAATTTCAAAACAGAAACACATCAAAGCTTCTAACTAGTCGACATTACATCCATTGAGTTCTTTGACATAGCCTTGCAGCCTTCAAAGTCAACTAAGCACACTTTGCTATAATGTTTACTTGATAGTTGATACATAGAATTGCAGCCCACAAAGATTAGATTCTACAATTAACTTTCAGTTCCATGCAGGGGCAAAAAACAAAGACAAATGAAAGAGCCTCCTTGGAGATATTCTATAAACAGAAGCTACCATGCAACAAGCTGTTACTTAGCGTGCAAAACACAAGCTTTCAGAAACCTACAATGAACTCTCGTACAAAACAAGTGCAACCCTTGTGAAAGGGAAAACGCAAGCTTTCATGCAACAAGCTGTTACTTAGAGAAAGGGAAAACGATTCTCTCTTCCAAGGAGATAACCAGTCTTCATTATCCACCAAATGTGAAATGACTTTTCCTTGAAGCCTAATGCAGCACATACCATAAAGCACAGATCCTCGTGTAAGCATGTCTTAAACATTAGGTGGGAGGTACTACATCCTAGAGGAAGATAAAATACACGCAAAAGAAGAGTAAAACATTTATGAGGACCAACATGGCTACCCTTCAAGTTCACCAAATAGCTGATACCAAATATATATATATATATATATATATATATATATATATTTTTAGTACATCGATATTTTTACACTAGGGGGAGGGGGAGTTCGACTAAGCCACACAATGGGCAACCTAATTTGGTATCGAATTCATCATCCACGAGATTCGAACCTAAGACCTCTCACTTCCGAGTGAAGAGGAATACCACCAGACCGTAGTACTGAGTGGCGCTAATACCAAATATATAGTGCCAACAACAACAACAAAGACAATATAATCAGCAAACCCTACTTGCATTTGAGAACTAACTCTATACATATAGATAACTTACATCTCTTAAGACAAATTCTCACTCCTAAGTAGAGGGTTAGACAATAGTCACAATATTTACAAACTATGCCATTAGTCCATTACTTTATCAGCCATCCTATCTTTTAAAACATGAAAGCTCCTTCTTCCCACCATACTCCTTCAAAATGAAAGCATTGTAAGCACCGGATCTAACTTACGAACCGAGAAATTCCTAAAGCTCCAAAAAGGCATAAATCTGGTGGTTGGATAGTGATGGCTTATTATGGTAAAGGGGAAGAACGTAAATGGAAAGGTTGAAAAGCTAGAATAGTTCGGGTCCTAAGTATAAACCAACGACGCCCAAATCAATGAAAAAAATACCAATACTAAGTACGAACATAATCGAAGGACAGAAATATAGATAAAGCAATTAATTTGCACAAGACCTGGCACAAGCAATGCAGTGCAGACGGCCATGCTTCCCATCCTCCAAGTAAGTCTTCCTCTGCTGCGTATTCTCATGAATCAGCTTCACAAAGTTAAGAAACGCCTTCTTCAACGCAATTTGATCAACTTGAAGATGCTTCAGACCCACATTCTCGCCTCCGCCTCCGCCGCCTTGCCTAAACCCCACACTCTCATGACCTCCACCGCCACCACCACCAACCCTCATGTACTTGTTAGCTCTCCCCTCACTGCCGCCCACTTCCCGCCGAAACGGACTACTCGATCCCGGCAAAAACTCTCCCCGACCTCCTCCTCCGGGACCCCCCGGAAAACCATTTGGATTCCCATACTGCATAAATTGCTGCCGACGCATCGCCAATTCTTCTGCTTTATCCCTGTGCTCCTCTTCTTCGGCGTACTTCCTCTTAGCGGGCCCTTCTGCAGGCCCACGCCCGTCGAGCCCTAGCGAATTCCAGTAATCCGGCCCACCTGGTCCACCGGGACCGAATGGCATGAACCGGCCAGGCGGGTTCATGGGCGGAGGGAACTCTTGATAATCTGGCGGCAGAGCGAAGTAAGATCGAACACTACCGTCGGCAAGAACAAAAGTCCGGCGCTCGAGCATGTGGAAATCGTACACCGGCGGAGGTGGTGGGCCGAAAGAAGCCGGGTCGGAGAAGGGGAAGGAAGCAGCTCTAGGAGAGGGGCCTGGCTGGTTTTTGGGATGGGCGGGGCTGGGTTTCGGGGATGGTCCGGGTTTAGTCTTGGAGGATTTGGGGTCGGGTGGGTTTTTGTTTTTGTTGGTGGTGGTGGTGGTGGTGGTGCCGGTGGCGGTGGCGGTGGCGTTGGGGTAGGATTCCCAGCGAGATTTGCGGCTGGAGGCGGAGGAAGAAGAAGATGGCTTGTGGAGTGGTGGGCCCTTGGGAGGGGGACCTCCGGCCATCCTGGAGGTAGGGATTTGTCTGAAAGCGGGAGAGAAAGTGGAACGAGGAGGAATATGCTTGCTGGTAGTTTTATATGTTTTTGTTTCTACAGGAAGGCCATTGTAGCAAAAGGAATTTTCACTCTTTTTTTTTTTTTTTTTCTTCTTTTAATTTCAAATCAATAAAATTACGAACTCTGGCCTTTTTAGTGAGCGATGGCTGTTAAGACCAATTCTAATAGTGGGCTAAAAGTCAAATTATCTTTTAAAATTTCCCCCCAAACGCACTCCAATCTAAGGGGAAATTTTGAGTTAAATGCTAAATGTTAAACCAATGCCAAATTCCTCCCGAAATTTAGCCTAGAAATCGAGGTGGACTCTACCCAATATTTATCGGAATTAAATTTTTTTTTTAGATTAAAATGTTCATAAAATTAATTTACGATAGTCTACATATTTATTTTTTTTTTTAAATTTAAATTAACAAAAAAAAATAGCCTAAATTCATTCTTTAATAATCCCGGGCTAAAATTTTAGGGTAGAATGGTTGAAGTAGAAAAACTGTTTTTAGGCTAAAAGATTTGACTTTTAGCCCAACCATTGGAGATGGTCTAAAAGGGGAAAAAAAAAATTCAATTCAAATCGAGCTTGCACCAATATTTTATTTTATCGTTAGAGGATTCAAAGTTCCGAATGAGGATACTCTCCGAATCAATTTTGTGGGGATTTTGGGAATCTTCAATTCGTATTCGTTCATCATATATCGTGGAATTAATTTTCATCAGGTAATGTTTATGTTTAATTTTAAATAAAAGTATTTAAAATGATTTCTGACCGTACGATGTACGATGAACGAACGCGATTTGAAGATCCCCAAGATCCTCACAAAAAGGTTCCGAAGAGGATCCTCGTTCCAAAGTTCCAACAGCTACTACGAAAAAAAAAAATTTATTGTTTTAGTACATCGATATTTTTACACTAAGGAAATGGGGAGTTCGGCTAAGCCACACAATGGGCAACCGAATTTGGTATTGAATTCGCCATTTACGAGATATGACGAGATTTGAACCTAAAACCTCTCACTTCCAAATGAAGCTGATACCGCTTGTTGATTCAAGTTCCACACTCGGAAGCGTCGATTTCTTTTATTTGATTTGTTGATGGAGGTGCTAATTGCACTCCAAAGAAATGTCATCATGTACTCGTGTGTTGTGTTACATATAAAGCAAAAACCAAAACGTGCATGATGACCTTTTTTAGATAAAAAAATAGGCCTAAAGTTGAATGCCGAGTACCATTATAGTTGTAAGGAAATTTCTTCCAGTTTGAGTCTCACATATGATGGAATAATAATCTACATTTTTCGTTGGAAAGAAAGAAGACGCATCGAACTTCAAATCCCACTTCAAAAGTCAAATCTTTATTTTTTATTTTTTTTGTGATAAAAACATTAAACCTTTGCATCATGATATGAATTCAAATCCAGTATATGACTAATCTAACATCAAATCTTACAAAATCTATCGTTTGGAGAAGAAAAAAAATACTCCAACCCCCAATTACTGAGCTGATTCAGACTTGAGATCCAAGTCTAAAGCTGCGTTCGGAACAAGGTCCGAATATCGAACCGGGTCTAGGTCTCAGTATCCGTACAATTCAAGATCTGGAACCAGGATGCCGGAGGAACTTCAAAACCCAAACGAATGAGGAATTCGAACATACAATTGAGATTTTAGAATATCAACAAATATCTGGAATTGAACTCCATCGCATACCATACCATCCTCAAACACAAAGATCAAGCAGTCTATAGGAATACAATTAAACGACAGCTAGACATACTGCTATTAATCCATCAAAACTGAAGTAGATTGAGGCTAAACACTAGAAGGTATTCTAAAAAGTAACACAAAATTCGCAACAGTAAAGTTCTTCAACGCTTCTTGGAGACACCAACAGTCTTTCCCCTGCGGCCGGTGGTCTTGGTGTGCTGTCCACGCACACGAAGGCCCCAGTAGTGTCGAAGACCACGGTGATTCCTGCATATCAAGAAAGATATATCAGTCATACTCCTAAGAAGAGTCTTCAAAATTATAGACGTTCATAACAACAGATAATATGCATACACAGAGACACCAAGAAAAACTCAAGTATAATCAGATAGACAAACACTGTCATATCATATGGATATACAAGATACTGTTCAATGTGTTGACAGGTAAATATGGGAATCAGGAACATCAACTGGGCTTATTGGTAAAGAATCAAGAGAAAAGCTTCACGAGCCAGATGATGAACTACTAGAGAAACAGATTGGGTAGAGGGTGTGAATGGCTGTAAGCCACTGACAAACAAAGTGTCCACAATTTGAGTCGATCACAATGCAGCCATAATGTACAATTTGACCTCTACCCAACTAACTAATCACAGTGCAAAAATCAATGCTTATACTTTGTAATCCCAACACGTTTCTTGCTCCGAAAGATTATGCATGAGTCTTCCCAAATGCTAGAAATAAGTTGAAGCTATTACTATGATCTAGGACAAATGGATAACACTATGTAGAACAAATGTAAACTACTGAGCTATATTTCCAACCAATCGTATGGCATATTAAAATCTTTAGCATCATAGACATACATTACTTAAAACAATTAAAATGACCAACGGTGCAATCAGTTAACAGAAATGCATAACAATAGAACTGGCATAGTACAACTATCAAAACAATGATATACCAATTACCGAACAATAATAATATCAGAAAAACATAACAACGATATGACCAGTGCTGAACAAAAAGAAGAAAATTGACTAGAAAACCAGACCTGATCTTCTTCAAACGCTCAAGGTCATCCCTGAGCTTCATGTCCAGAGCATTGGAGACCACCTGGGAGTATTTACCATCCTTGTAGTCTTTCTTTCTGTTCAAGAACCAGTCAGGAATCTTGAACTGGCGGGGGTTTGCCACGATTGTCATCAGGTTGTCGAGCTCGGCAGCAGATAGTTCACCAGCCCTGCAATGTGGCACAACCAGACCCATGCAAACTAAATCATGATAGTGTGCACGCAACAGTAAACTAGCTTGTCAGGTTACAAGCCACATGATTATGCAATAAGATGAACATGAAAGACAGAAGGGGGACTGCAATTCGTGCCCACATCACTGGTAACTGGTGCACGGGTCGTTTACTGGGATACCAAACTAAACATTGCATTTGCAAATAAATCACCTCATATTTTGCAATTCCAAACAAACATTCGACCCGATTTATAAGAGATGGAGATAAAATCATTCATTCCAGCTACAAAGTTAAGTTAAATCAAGTGCGATTACTTACTTTAATAATTCCTATAAACCCGAATTTGAAAAATAAAATAAAACCCATCTCAATTCTGAACCCGCTAATAAAATAGAGCTGGAAAATGAAAATGTTAATCGAAACAAATAGATCTATAACTATTTTTCAGAAAATAAATAATAAAAACAATTAAACAACGAACCTTTTGTTCATGTCGACATCGGCCTTCTTGCAGACGATGTTGGCGAAACGTCTGCCGATACCCTTAATGGAGGTAAGGGCGAACATGATCTTCTGCTTGCCATCCACGTTGGTATTCAGCACACGCAGAATATGCTGGAACTCCTCATTTGCGACGAGAGACTGCAAAACAAGGAAAACCGAATTAAGATTTGGGGTGAAAGATTGAAGACAAAGGGAATCGTCGAAGCGAGTGGATCGGATCGGAGTTGACTCACCATGGCTGCGGCCTTAGAGTGTGGCGGTTCTTTGCTCTTTGTGACTCTGCGTGCGAGTGTGTGAGTGTGGGCGCGCCGGGTGAGAGGGGGCTAGTGAGGAAGAAGATGGTCTTAAAAGGATCAAATTTAAGCGAGTTCGTAATGCTTAAAACCCTAGATGGTGATTAGACGCTGCGGCGCACCCCTTCGTGCACTCCTTAGTGATGATTTTGTAGCCGTCGATTTATTATACTTTGCTCATATACACATTTGGGACCTTCAACAACAATTTTAATATTTTTACAATCTCACCCCATAGGTTTTTGGAAAAACTAATAAAAAATTCTCAAAAACTTCAATTTAATCTTTAGGACAAAAGATTTCAAAATACTAATCTTACCTTTTAAGACATTTAGATCGTTTGGTCCTTGTAAAAAACAGAAGACAAAAGTTACCAGTCACAAAAGTCGTTCAAAAAGACAAACATGTAGTAAGTTCACGTGGTTCTCATCAAAACAAATGCAAAAGAAGATAAAGCAAAGACAACCACAAAAGAAGGAAACCATTTGTGGTTGTCTTTAAAACATTTGTGCGTGTTTTTACTTTGTCTTCTTTCACATTTGTTTTGATGAGGACCACGTGAACTTGTTGCATGTTAGCCTTTTTAGACCACTTTTATGTCTGGTAACTTTTTTCTTCTGCTTTTTTTAAGGACCAAGCTTTCTAAATGTTTTAAAGGGCAAGATCGGTATTTTTGAAAACTTTTGTCCTAAAGATTAAATGGAAGTTTTTGATAACTTTTCATTAGTTTTCACTAGAAAAAATAAATATACACAAATTAGACTGAAGTTGTGACAATAAGTCAAAAAATGATTATATACTGGAAGAAAAATTTGTGTTGAGGTGTTGTGACTACATCATCTAAAAAGCCAATCTAACACAAAGGATGAAATTCTTGTATATTTTATTCCAACAATCACACAATCTCATTCATCGTCAAAGCTGAGGATATCTTCCAGTGAAAAATAGGCCAAAGATTTATTACATAGTTTTCATGTCATTGTAATTGACACTAAAAATTGGATACCAAAGAAGAATTAAAAAAACCAGAGACTTAATGAAAAGGTCTAACTACTATTCGATCCTAATCATAAGGACATTTTTGGTATGAAAGGTCTATAATAGGCCAAGCTATTTTCTTTATTTACTCTTATGTCATATTTAATTATCATGGCGGGTCTCACAATGATGTTTAGATTTTTCTAATGTTTGAAATATTGTACGTAGTTTTGCATGGTGCTACTGTTACTTGTTGTATTATTATGCTACTTCATCTTTTGCTAATCTGCTGACAACTCTTCTATGCTTCCGTCACGTTGACAATGTTGTGCAGTTCCTCTTCTACCGAATTGTTTCAGTATTGTTCATCTCCTTCTTCTAGTTTTACCTCTATTACTCTATCTTCTTTTATCTTGTAATAAGTATTTGAAGTTTCTCCTCTAATTTTGAGGCTTTCATTAGGGATGTTGACAGACTTTTATCTTGTTGTAAATGTACATTTCTTTTTTTGATACTAATATCATATCATACTTCAAATCTTCAAACTCATTCAAAGCTAACATTTGAGTTTCTCTATATTTCAAAATATTTTTGTATGAAGGAGTCCATATGTGTGGTGGTATAGATGACAATCTAAAGGACTCTTCATTAATCATGGTTATATGCCTAATTTTCTCCTTGTGCAAATGCATATACCAACCTAGAATACTACTAATAAAACTTATACAAATTTCTTTCCAATCTTCTAAATAACCTTCCACTACTTTCTTAAACTTTTTAGGAAGTGATCCTAATCAACATAGCCAAACTCTAATAGTAAGGTTGGGTAGCTTCTACTATATTATGCCGTTTCTTATGCTCATAACTAAAATGTCATGATCTAAAATCTTTCATATTAATCCTAGCCAACTATATGCTAATTTCTAGTTTACAACTACAACTCTATAAACTATCACAAAGACATAATGGATATACCTTTGTAATAATTTACATCTCTGGTTTGGATCAAAGGTAGACTGATACCAAACATATTGTAATTGTAGCTCCTTCATTGACTGTGATGGTCTGCTCAGGATCTCATATTGCATATCCATTGTCATTATTCTTAATTTTGCTTTTGAAATTTATTCTAATAACATATCATCTTTTATTAATAGTCCTAAGAATTTCATTACACTTTCTGTTTTCTTTGTATGTATGATGATGCTCCATTTCAATATCTTCTTCCAAAAGCCCATCTAACATCTCTCTCTTCTATGGGCTTAATGGCCTCTTGTTCTTTGCATTTAATAACCTATTTTTCTTTATTCTTCTAAAGAGCTCAATTTTCTATTATCAAAATGATTTATCTTAGATCTTTTAATATGATTATTTGTATTCAAAGTTGAATTTTCTAATTTTTGTAACAAAATGGTGGTATGATGAAGATGTGTTATGTAAAATTTGATTTATTTCTACTTTTCGTTCTTCAACTTGATTTAATTTTTCAGCTAAATTTAAAACTAATTGGATGATTAAATTATTTTGTCTAATTGAGATATTACTACTAGTTACTTGTGTTGAAAAGTCTACTAAACCAATTGATTTTTTATCTAACGTTCTAATTTCTTTCAAAACTTGAATACATTTTCTATTGGTTCTAGAATCGGTCATTAATCTAATAATCTATCTATTTCATTAGGTAACTTACTTATTTGTTCAGTTAACTCTTTTTGTACTAGTTGATTTTTTCTTCTAATTTTAATTGGTCAGCTATTTCTAGTGATCTAAGTTCTATTTGCTTAGGCTTACTACCTATAAGGTTAATAAGTCTTTTTATCTCTCTTTTGCTAGGAAACTTTTAAATATTTTTATTATTATCTTCTAATCGGGATGTAATATAATCTAAATTCTGTCTAATAGTCTTTATGGATTTTTTCTAAAAATAGTTTAGCAACAAGTGTAATAAATAATTATGCATGTTATTTTCTAATTTTATATTTACTGCATGTCTAATAATAAGATCTACAATATTATTTGCTTGTGAATTTTCTTTATTCTGTAAAACATGATTATGCTTTCTTAATTGATAATGACAAATTAAGCTATTTTGGTCTAAGGTGATTTTTCCTCTTTTATTATTCACTAATATTATTGCTAATTGATTTTTTTTTAAGCTCTATTTCTTCTCTCAAAGTTTCTAAGATTGATTAGTTCCTCTTTTTGCTGCTAATATGTTATGTTGCATTTATGTATTTTTATACTTACTAATAAATGAATGATATTTAAGATAATCAAGATAAAACTTCTGGTTTTTAATAGTCTTGTTAATTCTCTTGTAAATACATGCTAATCTTCTCTTTAAGCTAGTTATAGTAGGATGTTTAAGACAATAAATTTCTACTGATTGTGGTTGACAGGGTTTACAAGGACAATAATATACAGTGTTTGTACAATACTAAACAAATGTGTGATTTCAGTTGTGTTGACTTCTATCTCAACCCACAAAGCATCTGAAGCTTTCCTTTCCTCTGTGTAAATTTTCTTCTTTGTAATCATCTTCTTTATATCAATAAAAGAATAAGTGTACATATTGAAAGTTTATCATACAAATAACTAGACATTAACCACGGTACATCTGAGTTCTTCGTACCTCTGAGTTCAGCCTTTGTGACCTTATACCTGCATTCTGAGTGCCTGTCATTTTGAAACATGTTGAGTTTCATGTGCAAGGTTTTATGTCTAGTTGTTATAATAGTTATCCGACTATTTAACTGAGGCCTCTGTTTCGAATTTGGTATCAGAGACGAGTTTAGCATTTTAATAGTATACTTATAATAGTAAAGTACCTTCATGATGGAAGTCATCAAAACAACTGATATCCCACACTCTTTTAATTTGTATGAACACTATATATTATTGTCCTTGTAGACCATGTCAACCATAACCACTAAGAATTTATTGTCCTAGACATCCAACTATAACTAGCATAAAAAGAAGATTAGCAAATATAAAAACACATTTTATTTATTAGTAAATATAAAAACACAAAAGTGCAGCATAATGTATTAGAAGCAAAAAAAAAAAGCAGTATATCATACTTTAGAAACTTCAAGAGAAGAAAGAGTTTTTAAAAAATAAATAGGAGTGTGTACAAGGCTAAAAATAATGTGTGAAAGTCAATCTTACTTCTTATATATGCGCCAAAATTTATTCTAAACACACACACACACATATATATACACACTTGCGTAGACAATACTAATATTATATAGGTTAATATCACATGTTGCCTATTCAATTGTCTCATAAAAAAATTTGTCACTTCATTGGACTAAGCAAACGAAGTAGACAAAATTAGATATTACTAGTGTTTTTCTATTACAAACTATATTTTACTATGGACTAAAAATAAAAACCCTAATTAACTAATGTAATCCACCACTTTAAGTTTTTCTTTCTTTAACATTTATTTTCATGTTTTATCTTTGTCTTCTGTCTTCACATACAATATATTAGGCCTAATTGGATTATTAGTCCCTGGTGATAGGGTGGTTGGAAGATATTCACTGTAGTAAAAAAAAACTAGGATTTAAGCCTCTGGGGTGAAGTTTGTTAGGATTTAGAACTTGCATACTCCTGATGAAGTAGGCAACATTGCCTTGTCAGAGAAAATAGATAAAATTTATCTACTCAATAGAAAGTTCTTCAACGGTGAGTAGTATTGAATGATGCAAAAAATGAATGACTAAAATTAAAAATAAGAAACCTAATAGTTGTTCAAATTAAATTTGACAACTTAAATACTCACATTATTAAATACTATGTAACATTGAAGTGGACCGGACCGTTAGACCAAGTTTTACCTAAATTGCCAATATTATCGGACCGACTACTCAATGTTGGTATCCATACGGGAGGAAGATTCTCTCCCCTCCTAATCTCTCTCATCTTCTCTCCCCTCCTATTTGAACGGTTACGATTAAGCCACGTCAACATCTTATATTAATTTTTTATAGAATTAATAAAACAAAAAGCAAATTGTGTGAAAGGAGGGAAGGAAATGAGATGGAAACATGAGACAGTAGCAACACCTGCACCCTGTGTTAGAACTGTTGGTTTTTGCCTTTGTTTTTTGCTGCATT